CTGTACGTCTTCTCACGACCGAGATGACCACTGAGTGGGGTGTCGTGGGCCTCATAGAAAATACAGTATTTCAAATCTTCATCGAGAGGAACCACAATTCGTGGCATATCCGTCGAGTCGGTGCTATAATACAGCAACTCGTTATTCAACGAATATCGGTGTAACCGTGCGTGCAATCGCGCCGACCATATTTTGTCCGAGGTTTCAAACTCCTTGCTACCGAGAGCCTGTAGCAAGTCTACACGCATACTATCACCCGCGTATGCGGCTCGGATCGAATCCGACATTGACGACGTCACCGTCGTGACATGAGCTAGCTCATATCGTAATCCGGTTTGCGTGGCAACGCATCAGTCAAAGCATTCTGCTTTCCTGGCTTATACTCCACCGCGGGGTTATATTCAGCTAAAAATGAGATCCATCTGATCATCTTCTGCGAGAGGTGAGGCGACTGAGTCACAGTGCATAATGACGCATGATCTGTGTAGATCACAAACGGATTTGAGCGAAGCAGGTGCATCCTGAACTTGACAAGTGCATACTTCATCGCAAATAACTCCTTGTCGTGGACTGGGTAATTCCTCACTGTAGCATATAGCTGTCAAGCTTCGAACGCGATCACCCAATCTTGCTCCTCGGCGTCTGCTTGCAGCAGGGCACAGCTGATACCAAAGTCCAAAGCGTCACAGAAGACACTAAAAAGACGATCGGAGTCTGGCAACGCCAGTATCGGTACATGAAAGAGACTGTCTTTAACCCTATCAAAAGCATTCCGATGCTCGGTGTCCCAACACAATTCCGTATCCTTCTTAGGAATATTCGACAGTGGCCATGCCATTTCCGCATAATTCCCACTATACTTGTGCACTTGCGCAGGTCCGTTCGTTTTCTTGGAACCGACCAGTCAACAATGGCCTTGGCCTTAGCAGGAACCGCTCTACCCAATATAGCACCTTAAAAAGGAGATTTCTTCCGCGCCGAAGATGCACTTTTCGGTATTACCATACAGTTAGTTCGTGCGCATGCACTCGGGCACCGCTCTCAAATGGACGATGTGGTTTTCCTCATTTGTCCTTCCACGCTGCGCACGACTATGGGCGAAGATGTCGTCAAAGTATGTTTGTGCATGCGCCAGATAGGTCCTAAACAATTGCATCACTAAGAATCGGCGTCTGTACCGGAATGGTGGCAGCGTTTAGCTTATTATAAGCGTAAACGTACGCCACTTGCCGTTCGGCTTCCGGATACAAAACGTAGGTATCGACTGTGGAGACTTGCTCCCACGCAACATTCCTGCCTCCAGCTTTGCACGGAAAAAGGCGCCAATGACGTCACTCTGCTCCTTGCGTGTTACGCAGTATTTAGTTCCCGGAAACAGGTCAATCTCATGACGCACACCTCGGTCCGGAGGTAGGACCGACGTTGGGTCTTTGGAGATGACGTCTTGAATTTCATTGCCAAATAATAGTACGGATCCGAGGGACCATTTAGGATTGACGATCCACTTCGTGCGTTCAGCACCCTCTTGGTGTCCTCCAGGACAGCTTCATCCAAAAGCGACGACGAGTCAATCTCCTATTTTGGTCGTATACTAACCACCTCGGCTGAGTTGCTTGCCTTCGAGGCACCGCTTAATTCTTCGAAAGACATCACGTATAGCTCAAAAAGAGCATTCATTGCGAAAATAGCCTTAAGGGTGACATCGCCGTCTTTGTCTCCCATCATACCGATTAAAAGGTTGTATAGCTCTGCACTATCGTCGACGGTAGACGAACCCTGAATCAGGGTCGATGTCCCGCGTCTTGCAGATAACATACGGCATCGCCGTCTCCTCTCCATAGAGGTTTCACTTTTTATCTAGACCAGTGGGAACACGCATTCGGCATCATCCAGTGTCCCTACCATCTGCTTTATCGGCGCCTTGATGTCAATAACAACATTTGACGAAGAACTGCTATTCCCGCAGTCTTAGTCCAGTGGATAACGTGCCACTCCAAGCGCATCAGAAAGGCCTTGCCCAGAATGCGTGGAACCTCGTCCGACCATGCCACTCATGCTATGCAGCGACTGCTTCGAAATGTGAGCAGTGCTCAGTGGATTATGTGCCATCTCACGCGCATCACATGGGCCTCGCCCTCGATGCCTTGGTCCTTGGCTGATCATGCAACTCCACGTGCATCACTGGGGCCTCGCCCTAGATTTCTCGGCCCTTGGCTTACCATGCCACTCTTGTCATGCAGCAACTGCTTTGATACTTGAGCAGTGCTCAGTGAATTTCGTGCCACTCCACGTTCAATCCGCGAGCCACGCTCGGGACTTCTTGTTCAAAACACCTTTGGTGTTCGACAATTCAGGTCTCATATTTCCAGCACATTGACCGTCCCGGTCCAGTGCCCGCGCCAATAGCGCCTCTGCTTCCTAGTAGAGGTAAGTTCATGACTCACCAACGCTCCACCAGGGAATGTGCGAGTAGCGCCAAAGGTCTTCGACCTTCATCCAATTCATAGCTCATGGTGTTCCAACCATTACATACCAAGGATAAGGTCATACCTTGAATCCAAGTGTTAGGCTAAGAAGCGTTCCACGCTATTGAGGGAGAAAAAACTTGACACCGATGTCTACAGGGACCCTCGGCACAGACACACACGCTCCCGTCGCTAAGCGATCAGTGACGGTGTCACTCAACCGCGCTTTTAGCGCCTCAGCATACAGATGACTTTCTTATATCGTGAAGCGTCAAGCTGAACTGCCCAACGCCCCAGAATCGATAAGGATTTCCATGACTTCGTAAAGCCCTTCACGGTCGCTTCTAAGACCAGCAAGCCCGGCTTGCATACACATTCCGTGTTCTAGAGCACGGAGCTCTTCGTGGCTCGGCCCTGCTGCTCTCTACCTCTTTGAGGCTAAACAGAACTCAGTTCTTCCCCAGTTAGGCGCCTGCGCCTACTGGGTGTTGTCGTTTCCCCAGGTGAGAAGCGGAACGTCGATTTGATGAACCTTGACGCGTCTCGCTCAGGGGACCATCACTTTGAAGGTGACGGGTGTCTCCACAGACAAAAAACCGTCGGGTGTTCGATAGCCGCCCGGCAGCTCTGAGCTCTTCGACCCTGTTTCTCAGCATACCTGAGATCCATTGATATCAGACCCGCTCGACCAGCCCTGAGGGTGTGCATTCTAACCAAGTTGTGTCGATTTAATGTTGATTTCGGCATTCAATGCCACGTTCACCGCTTCTTCAAAAAAGACGGGTGCACACAGAAGACTCTCATCCTGGCCACGCCAGTGCGGATACCCTCCATGGAGGTGGTCAATGCAATCACCTTGGGAAGAGGATCTACTGCCATTCCGGTAATAATAATTCTCAACTCTTGGACACACTCCAACAACTCAGTCTTGCCTTGTCGGGTGGTAAGGAAATGCGATCGCACGCAATATGCCTGATTAGGTGCCAAGAACACTCGCAAAATCTGACGCTTCTGCTCCCTCGAGGAGGTGAACACCGATTCAACCGCAGTATCGCACGTTAGTGCCCATTCTCGCGCTCGGTCCTTGAGCTTGGAGATAGCTAGCGCAACGCGCTGTTGTTCGTTCTTGGGCATGGCGGATGCCATCGCCATCTCGGCCTCTCATATCCAGAGCAAGAGATTCTCTCCATCCTTACCCGCGAAGGTCTTAACGCTGACCATGAGCGGCCTGGGCCGGAAGGAAGCATCCGTCGTCGACGGTGCCGTCATGGAAGCTGTCGACGCTGACAGCTTCTGCTGTGAGTGCTCTAACAGAGGCTCGAAAAATCCTTCAGGCGCGCGCTTATGACCTCGGTCCCTTGTGCAACGAGGTACTCCATGCCCTCGGGATCCAGCAGGTACATCAGTTTATTAATCCGTCCTGCATGCCCTGGGACAAAAAGGAGTATTACTCCTTCCTCACAGAGGATCAGACATAACGACCCAGGCGTAAATTAACTTCGAGTGCTACCGAGTTCAGCGGGGCTGCCGAAGCTCTTTGATTAGAGGAAGCTAATCTAAGGTCATCGACCTCACGCTCTATACCAAAACCAGTGCGAGTGTAGCGGATTGCAATCCACTACCTCCAAGAGTATTTAAAACCTAAACCAAGGTAAAGAAGCTCTTACCGACCTGATGCTCTATACAAGAACCAGTACGAGTGTAGCGGATTGCAATCCGCTTACTTAGAGCCTTAACCAAGGTAAATTCGCTCTTCTGTTCAAAATTGAAGCTGTATATAATTTTTTTATTTGCGGCAGAGCCGCCTATGTCTAAAACCTTAAGTTTTCCCAATTGAATAGTAACACCTAATTAATATGCAGAATTGCTTGCAGTCCTGTAGGGTTTAGTCACGTAGTGGCTTCTTGTTGCGTTGTAGCCACACCATTGTGTGATTACGCCAACTTGTGTTATCCACACCTCTGTACGGTCACACCATCCTGTGTGACCCACCCTTTCATACAAGGGTTAGTGAAACCCCGTTACATGCACTTTGGAAAGGCCAGCATGAAGCGGTGGGGAGAATGGTATTCTTAATGAGGGATGTACGTTGTATACTAGAAGCCGAGGAAAGTGCCGCTGAGCGTCAGACCTATTTTACACCCTGGATGAGGAAATATACCATATCACCCGATTTGAGTCCTCACAGCAAGATTCAGCGGGGGAAAGCTAAACTCTAAACCCTAGTCGTCACTGTTCCAAGTGCAGACGGCACTCCTAGGGAAAAGCTCTGGTAATTAGAACAGCGCTGGTAGAACGACGATTTGCTCGTTATGCTCTTGTTGTGAGCAAAAATCACACTCAAAGTCGTCTCTGCACCAGCGCGGTGGATGACTTTAGATGTATCAATAACCAAAGCACAACGTTATTTGTGTAAGGATCGATGAGACTCTTGCGCTCGCGAAAGAGCAATCTGGGATCGTAGCTGAACTCGTTGGGATCGAGTTGGACATCATCACGGCGGGATTTCAAATCCCATCTTGCCAACGGAAAGGGCAGGGAGTTTGAAACTCGTGGAGAAGGACAAAAAAATGCGATGGGTTTCTACTATTTGAAAAATTGCAGAACAGTGTATCGCCGGATGACGTCAAAGAAACACCGGTATAGTTCTCACTGGAGGACACCTCGGTATTCTTACATAGAAATGTTAAAGCTGTCGGTTGCGAAGACCGCGCTTTCATGATGCTTCATTTTGTCATTTTATTTTGTGCGGGTAATAGACTCCCCGTGCAACTATGCTCTGAAAAGCAGGATGTTCAGCTGTCGAAACTGGAGTGGAATTCCAGGCGCAGTGGTCAGTAGTTCTATGATACTCTGATAAGTAAATTAAATATTACTACATATCAAAGTTTTTTCCTCAATAGCCAATCGTCTTCACTCTTTGATATCATAATCAGATTCACAAACGGAACTTCTCTAGCAAATTGAATTTTTAAAAGCAACCGCCGCGTAGTTTCCTCTCTCTCTTCGTGATCATATCGTCCATGGCAGAACCTTTACATGCCTCCAGAGGTGCTTCAGCTGTTGCCATTGATATCGAAAATTTCTCTACTACAATACCCGCTTCTATCTCGTCCACTCAAGCTGGAAAACGTTCAGCTAGTGAGGCCTTTGACGGTGACATTATGACGACGCTAGACGACGTCCTGGTGTCTCCACTTGATAAAAGGACCAAGTTACTTGACGAAGAATTGCCTGATGTGGATGATAATGAGGAATTTATAGAGCAAGAGGAAGATCTGGATACTGATCTTGCGCTGGGGTTGAAGAATGACGAAAATGGACAGGAATTGGATGATGATGGTCTAATTCTGGCAAATAAAGAACAAATTACGGAAAGTAAAGTCGTCAGTATTGACCATAAGATGGAAACGTCAGAGTTATCTCCTGCTGAAGAAGGAGATGGAAGTAAAGCATTGACGTCTCAAAATAATGAAATTGATATTGTTGACGTTGATGAGGGAGATGAAGAAGATGAAGAAGACGAAGAAGACTCTGTAGCATTATCTGAGCAGTATGATGATCAAGAGATAGCGAGAACCATTTTACGCGCTCAAAACCAGCGAGAAGCTAGAAATTTACTTCAGCAACTGGATGACTCGGCACGCAGTAAATTATGTCTTATGGCTTTAGAAAAGTATGGAGAAGAATTGTTTTATGGTCATGAAGAAGCAAGAGATGCGATTTTAGTAGATGCTTGCGCTCAAGACTCGATATTGTCACTTATGCGGGATGCTGTTAAAGTGCGGGACTTGTACTTAGGATCTTCGGCTACGGCACCAGTGGAACTCGATGATGATGAAGAAACCGGAGGATATGAAGATGAAGAAGAGGAAGACGAGATTGAAGACGAAATTGATGAAAGCAACGAAGAGATTGTTGTCATCTCAGAGGAAGAGGATAAAGGAGACTTAGATGAAGATGACGAAGAAAACGAAAATGCAACTACTTTTGGAAATGCTAGTGATGAAGAGCAAGTTGGAAGCAAAGATGTCAGCGAAGAAGAGGAAACAGAAGGGAGTCAGAATGCTGCACTGTGTAACATAAGTGCAGCATCAGATGACACAACAACATGAGGTTATTCGTTTTATTTTTGAATCTCAAAAGTGACTATTAGTACGCGTTCCCAACCTTAACTCATATTTTCGTGTCTGTGCTACCAACTTTCTGTCCTCGACTTCATTTTGGACTGTACGATCTTTTCTTCCTTTGCTTTATGCTTCATAACGCGTGCTGCAATGATCGTTATATCGTCAGGCATGCCACCACCCCACAGCAAGTCGTTTTCCTTCGCCAGTCGCGCAAAAGGCGAGTCACGTGTACGATCCAATGACAAATCATAAGCTTTCTGTACTAATTTTCGAGTCATAGTCTCCAGATCTGGTTCTGCACGCACAATTTCAAGTAAAACGTCTTCATCCACATTGTCGAACAGACCATCAGTTGCGAGAAGAATTAAGTCTCCTTCTAGCACAGGAACGCGCAGCCTTACACCACTCTCAGGAGTTTCGAATAAAGGCTTTTCTTTCATATGCGAATGCGTTTGGCCCAAATCGTCGACGACTTCACTTGCTAAAGAAGTACCTGCAAAACCAAGTTGAAATGGACAATTGAAGTAGTGAAGTTGCTGCGGAGAACGGTACGTTACGTGTGCTCCTTTTCGGCGTCCAGCAGGCGTCAAATCATGATCTCGATTGTTAATCTTACGCATGAGCGAGCCATCCAATGTGCCACGCAAGCGCGCAGTCTCACGATCCGATGCCTTGTCACGAATGATCAAGAAACCAGAGTCGCCCAAGTTAATGCCGTGTAGTTCACCCAATTCTGGGTCTAATGCAAGTACACACGCAGTGGAGCTTCCTACAATTTCTCTCTGCAAGACCGTTGACCACGCTGCATGCAGCACTTCGGACGGCTCAATATCGTGGTCTTTAGCGTATGAGACTTGTACGGCTTGGTGAGCTGCGACCATGAGTTCCTTTGCATATTGACGAGCACTCACGCCTTTTTCAAACCATGAACCAACCCCATCTGCGACTCCCATTGCGAGGACATCGACAGGTCCATGAGTACCTTCCGTTATAGTTGGAATGGATGGCGTCATATCAAACAGACCGTCTTGTAAAACTAGAGCGGAAGCCCCACCTTGATCCTCACCGTGAGGTACGACACCCAAGAAAAAGGCATCTTCTCCTCCTGCTTCCCTTTTCTGTGGATGTGGAATTGACATGGCAAATGAGCGAAGATAAGTTGTCCAGTAGTTTCGATGCACGTGCTCACTGTAAGAAAAGTATCCATCAGAATTGTCTACAACTTGTGGTTCTGACACAATCACGTACTGTTGAACGACCGTTTGGTCGAGTGATGTGTTTGCAGGTAACCCCTTACGCGGAAGAATTAAGTTGATGTAGTCTGATTTGGCGCTACAAAAATGTAACTACATCATGAGCTCAATAAAGCCTTATGATATCTTAGTTCTGCACCTTGTAGGATCGGGATTAAACTGTGCATCGTGGCGATGAATCAATGATGCAATATCTATTAATGATACAGTACCAAGCAACTTGCTCCCACGTAATACTGGCAACTCCCCAACTCCAGATAATGCCATCACAGCTCGACACTGCGCACATAGTTAATGTACGAGCACATTTATTCACCACTTCATTCCACTTGTACGTACATCTTCTAATGAGTCTTCAGGAGATACATACAACACTTTGCGAGCTGGAATCGCCACTTCCGACACCTAAAAAATGCTATTAGTCTAATACAGAACAAAGAGCCGTGATCCGACTCGATACTATGTAATTGTTCTACCTTAACGTTCCAATCCGTCCGCTTGCCATTAGAATGCATCCGCACTACCTTTTGTAATGCCAATCTATTTGTTATAAGCCCCACAACTTGATGTTGTTTATTTACTACCACAAGAGTAGCGGAATTTTCATTCTGTGTGAGACACTTCACAGCTTCATCCAGCGTTTGATCTTCATGAATGTAATTTGTTTCTTTGCTTCGGAATTGCTTAGCCACCTCCAAAAGGTCTGCTACTTGCATACACGATGGAGATGGAAGCGATTTAGCACTCATACAACGGCGTAATCCATTCGTGATTGGAGTTAGTGTGTTGTCAGATGGATATAAGGCGCATAAGGTTGGTGAGATGCGCGACAGACGTACACAGGACATGACGAGCCGCTGCATCTTTTGTTATTTTCACAAGTACTTGGATTTGTCAGCTCATTAAATCAGTTCTGAATATTAAATAGGCAAAACTTTGAGAAATAGTCAGAACTCTCTCTATAAACTCAGTAGATTTCAAAACTTTAGAGCCAGGAGGTAGACGTCACAATATCTTGATGACTTTATTACGTACACGGTGCTCCGCAGAATCCTTCTTTTTAGCTGCAATACAAGTATTGCAGCTAATCTCTTTTCAATTCACTAAGGGAGTTTAAGGATTACAGCATAAATAATGTTATGGCTAATCTGTAAGCTGACGATGTGGAATGTGAGTCAACACGTAGGACACATTATCTTCCAACATAATTGAAGCATACTTACTGACCATCAACACAAGTCACATTTCTACTGAAAAACCCAAACTTATACCACTATAAGCTTGTC